GCTGAGCTAAGAGCCCGATGTGGGGCTCAATCTCATGACCTTGAGATCACAACCTGAGTCAAAACCAAGAGTTGGACTCTTAACTGAGCCATCTGGGCACCCCAGATTTAACGCAGTTTTCATCAAGATCCCAAGAAGATTTTTGTATAGATATAAACAAGCTATTTTAAAAATTGGCATGGCAGGCAAAATAATTAGAATAGCTAGACAACTCTGAATGAGAATAAAGTCGGTGACATAATGCCATCATTCTGAGACTCACCATAACACAGCAGTAGTTAAGACTGGTGTGAGCAGAGAAACAGATACACAGGTCAATAGAGAACATATAACCATGTACAGACTCTGCTCAAATACGTGGTACCCATCACAGGTTCAATACCATAAAGACAGAATTTGTATCAATCCTAATTTTTGCACAGATTTGCCAGGGAGTCTCAGTTGTAGGGAAAGCAAGTATCAAGTAACTAAGATATGTCATCATTTTCTTTATGCAAAAAAAAAAAAAGCATTTTTCCTTTCTTTAGGGAGAGAGAAAAGTGAAGCAGCAATATGAAGCTCTAAGTACACATTCATCCATCACACAGTAAAGCTTGTGTTACTGACTCAGACCGTACAAAAATAAAGACAGATTAATTTTGGTCATTGACATTGTAAATTTTAGAGACAAGGGTGTGAGGTGTTATCAAGAGTGAAGATAAACCAGGAGAAGAGGAACAGTCTGAGAACAGTATCATAGAGAAATAATCTAAGATGATGCATAACAATAAACATTCACTTAGACTAAAACCCATGGCCTAGATCACCAGGTCCCTGCAGAGCTGGAGCTGTGCAGCTCACACCCCACCTGTGCTGGGAAGAGCATAGGGCGGGGCAGGGGCAGGCTGGATGGGGCACACAGATCTGGGAGCCCTGCAGTCACACACAACAGTGCTTCACACACTGCAAAGCCTGGGCTGTTTCTACAGGGGGCTCCTGTGTTCTGGCATGTAGGGTACCACGTGCCCCAGGGCATGTGCATCAATGTATGAGTGTCACCCCATTTTACTGTGACCAGGACCATGGTAGAGAACCTCCAGCTCCCTCATCTGCAAGCAGCCTGAATGTCTTTTCCTCTGTGAGCAGTAGATGTTGCTGGAAAGCCGCCAGGTAGAACCCCTGACACCTGCCCAAGCTCACGCTAAGGAATGGGGGAAAGCGTGGTGGAGGAAGGTGCAGGAATGCAGGTGGGCAACTTATGGGCCACGGAGGCCAGTGAGGAGGGGCAGGACCCACAGCAGAGCTCTTGACCTGAAGTCCCTTGGGTCCCTCCTTGGCCGTGGGCTTCTGGTGTCCTGATGAACGGCTGTCTCACTCAGTGCTGCCCACTTATCAGGCCTCGGGACATGGGCTGGACACACATGCAAGGATGAGGCCCATGGCAGGACGGAGGTATGGGTCCTTATCGTCCCCTGCTTGAGCACACCTCTCAGGGTATCTGGGGGCAGGCTCTGGTTATTGGGAACAGAGAAACACAGGGTGGCTAAGAGCTTGCACACACATAGGTCTGGCACATGAGTGCCACTGGCCTGCCTTTTCCTTGCAAAGATCCCCCATTTGGGGCAGTGCCGCCTCCTACCTGGTCCTTGTAGGGAGGTGGTACACCCACCTCATCCCAAGAGGCAAGGAACACATGGCTGATGACAGTCTGTCCAGGTGCGTGCTTCTGTGGGGATAGTATGGTCTCCACACCCCACCCATGGCAGGGCCAGAGTGTGTCCAAGCCCTGTGGCACCCTGCCCCCAGGCCATGCCCCACTATGTGTCGCGTGCAGCAGTTGGTGGCACGCAGCAGCAACAGATGTCAGCGACAGGCAGGGGCAGGAGAAGATGCAGGAGGGGAACCCAGGAGATGCTGGTGGCCATCGGGAGGAGAGGCAACTGAGCAGGCTGCTGTCCAAAGTGACAGCTTGCATGTAGATAAACAAGATAATTAATTTTTAAGGGGAAATAAAGGGAAGGAGGGCTCACTCTCACTGCCTGCTCCAGCCTGAGCTTGTGGTCATTGAAGCTCCAGCAAGAGAAGATACTTCTGTGTACAGGCTGGGGCTTCATTCAGCTTTGAAGCCATTTGTCTGCTGAGAGACCCACTGCTGCTGGCCGGTGCTTGGCTCTCCTGACAGGGAGCACTTTGCAGGTAAATAGACAGAGACACAGAGACAATGTGTGGCATGCTCACAGGGGTTAAAGGAGAAGCCAGCTGGGTGGCCACGGCACTATGGTAAACAAAGTCGCTGCGTCCTCTGGGCAGGTGTGGCCTGACCACGGCCCAGCAGGGAGACAAGACAGCAGTCAGACAAATGGAGCCAGAGAACTGTCCAGATCGGGGAGAGGAGGGAGCCTACTCTTCCAGCACCTAAAGTCCTCCCAGACAGAGCAGTAAGGCTCAGGAAGCACCAGCACAGGGCTGTGGATGGCAGGGAAGGCAGCCATGTCACCAACCAGCCATAGCCAGAGCAACCACACGATGGGGACACGGATAAGACATGATAGGTTCACTACATGAGAGTGCACAGGTGTGTCCCACCACATGCCCTGTGAGCCCCCTTCCTGAGTTGTCAGGGCCTTTCTCAGACTCGGGCACTGCCCCACTGCCATGGCCACTGGGCGCCACAGGCATGAATGCCTCTCCCCCCTGCTCTGGGCCTGTGAGCAAACGTGAATTCTCCCTGCTGTCTGGAAAGTACCACTTGGCCTAGCTGCCCTTCTGCTCCCACCCTCCCCAGGGTCTCCTCTCTGTAGGGAAGAGACCCCAGAGCCCCCAGCCTGCAGGACACCATGCCCTGCACTGCCTCTGAGTGCCATCACGGCCGACACCCATCTCTGACCCTGCTGGCTCCATGGGACACTGCACCCAGCCCAGAGTGAGAGGGCAGGGTGTGCAGACAACAGGTGGGTTTGTGTGAGGGCACACACAAGGCTGGATGTTCTTCATACTCTTATTTTTGCAACTTTTCTGGAAGTTTGAGATTATTTCCAACTAAAAGTTAAAAAACATTGAGAAGCTGTCTTCAGCTGTCCTGACTTCTGAAACATTAAACACATCAGTCCTCACCAGTTTGGAGTGTACTGAGAATTTACGTGTCATGGGAGGACTGGAAAGGTTTGTTTGGCAAATCCTGTTTTCAGAGAGGGCATCCGCACTTCAAGCAACATGTTGCAAGTCCTTGTAAACACAGTAGATCCTGGCTTTGGAGGAATCATGCTTCCAGACCATGTCCCCACGCGTGGCTCACCTAGGTCCCCGATGAGGTAACAGGTTAGCTCGTTTCCACTGTAATGCATCATGAAAATGATGCTTCCTTCAGGATGACCTGAGCTTGCCCAGTGTTCATGCACATGTCATAGTGCCAATGGGTTCCTGGGAAAGATGTGGGTTATAACTGGCCCTCATGGTGTGGGGAGCCAGACAGAAGCTGCACAAGGTCCTGGGGGGACAGTGACAACAGTCTGAGTCCCCACTTTGAAAGGGCAGAGGGAGATGCAGAGTGAGGCATGGCCCTTTTGGGTAACATGCACAAGGCCTAGAGTCCCACGGTCTGGAGGTGGGGTCGGTAACTCAGGCCACAGCTGGGGGTTCCTGCGAACAGGACCATGGGGGAGAGGGCAGCCTCCCAGGTCACAGCGCCCCACACTGGGTCATGCATACTGAGGCCTGTGTGTGGGATGCACAGTGGCCTTGAGCCTGCACATGGTCATCGAGGCAGCTCTGTTCTAGATGGTTATACTGATTTCTTGACCAAGCTGAGAATGTTCTAGAACATGCCATCAAGAGCACTGAATCCCCAGTCTTCACATTTAGAAGGTCGTGGGTGCGTGTGTGCTTGGCTCACATGTGGGGAAGTGGGACTCTGGCTCCCTCAGCCTCTCCCATCCCCATGACCCCCAGGCCCCGGCAGTGGTATTGGTCCGCCCAGGGCCACCCTTGGAACATGTTTCCTTCTGATGGTCAAGGGCCTGGCTGCCAGAGCTCTCTGTACATGGAGGCAAGTAAAGACAGTTGAGGAGCACTGGCAGGTGGGTGGGCTGCCTGCCTTCCAGGTGAAGCAGTGGATTTAATAGTAATTTTAGGGGGAAATGGTCCCCAGGTATGTATGGAGGCCAAGTCATCAGGTGAATGGCACCTGGACGATGCAGTAGTGGGTGATGCTGTCTGTGCTGCTGGCATGTGACTGGCCCACACGCCCTGAAGGGCCAGGGTCCCTTAACCCACACCCAGTCATCCCTGACCCAGCAAACAGGCTGCATGTCTAGAGGGGGAAGCAGCCCATCACAGTAGGGAGGGCTGGACCATCGGATGCTGGCACAGGTTATTGGAGCATGAGCAGGCTCACGAGGAGGCAAAGGGGCTGCAGGGCGCAGGCTGTGAGCCAAAAGAAGACCTCAAGTTCTTCTTGACCTTTCAGCTGAGGCTGAAGGCCTGGGCCAGCCATTATTGAGGTAAGAGCCCAGGCAGAGGGTGGTCAGGGAGTGATGGCTGTGCCTCAGGACCTCAAGGCTGTCCTGAAGAGGGCAGCATGGAACCTGCCCACACACACGGAGGGCAGGGTCTGGAGGCCAAGGGAACCGGGGAAGGAGCCACAGGCTGACCTCCACTTGGGGGACCTGGTGAGGGGTTTTCTTGGATGGACATTTTCATAAGATTACACCTAAAACCACCCAGTTCTACCCATCTGCTCGACCATCTCCTCAAGCATCTCCTTCAGACATGGACACTAGGACCACAGGGGAGGCCAGTGTGGAGTGGGAGAGAAGCTGACACCCACACCCACTGCTGCTGACATCTCTTAAGTCTAGTCTGTGTGTTGGCTATAGACGAAGTTACCTCCTCTTAAACCAAAATTCCAGTTCCCACCAATCCTTGTCTATGATTCCCATTCACTTATGATCACCAGATCTGTCACTATTACTTGGTATGGCTGTGTGATGCGTGCACCGCCAGCGGAGCACAGAGCAGCCCACCTGCGTCTCCTTTTCATTTCCTTCTGCATGGAGCACATAGGGGCAACCCTCCTTCTTCGGGTTTTCTGAGACAATGCGCACCTCGACACCTGGCAGCGGGGTCCCCACGGAACCTGCAGAAGAGAAAGGAGAGGGCTGCAGGGCCAGCAGTAGAGCCTGGGACAAGGATACAGGGCTCCACGTGGTGTGTGCAGGTGGCCGCTAAGACTCACAGCTGCCCACAGTCTATGAGACTGGCTCTGGATGTTCATGGGGGAGACTCTTGGTGCCCAGGCTTGAGGCTGGGGCTGCTGCCACCTCCAGAAAGCCCTGGTAATGGTGGACTGTCTCCGGGGGCCATTGGAAAGCACTGGTATACAGATGGCCCAAGAGGGACTGAGCTGGCAGGCAGAGGATTCCATTAGCATTCTGGTTCATTTATTAGGCACTCAGGGTTTGCTCAGTGTGTTCATGCCCACCGAAGCACCCAGTGTGGAAGCCTGTCCTGCCCTGAGGCAGCCACAGCAAGGCCCCGCAGCCATAATAACAAAGGACCAATGTGGACAGAGGTCCCCACACCAAATGCTTGGTATCTGTGAAGACTCACATCAAGGCTTCAGACTCTTTATTTTAATCATTAAAATCAGTGAGGATTTGTCATGGGACACATGCCCGGCAGGCTGACTCTAAAAGTCTACATACGATCAGGATTCTGGGATTCAAACTCCCAGGAGGGTCAGTTAAACAGGGCCTTGGTTTGCTACCATGGTGCCATACTATCCTTGTGGCCTGTCTTCTGTATCTGAGGTCCTCCCTACAGTGCTGTCACAGAGGGCTGTTGGCTGTCTCATATCCTGGTGGCCTCACGCCTCACTCTGGTCAGGAGCCCGTGTCCCTGCCTAGTGGAAAGCACACAACCAGTTCCCTCCTGTCCCTTTGTCTTCTTGTTTTGCTTCCAAAGATTTTTAAAAAGTTAAATCTATAGGAGATACAATTAATCATCACAAAGCACACAACTCTGGCATTTTGCACATTCATGATGCTAGGCAACTGTCGCAGCCATCTAGTTCCAGAACCTTCCATCACCCCGAAGGAAACCTGAGCTGTCAGCAGTCATGCTGATAGTCTGCCTGTGTGGGTCTGCCCACTCCGGACAATCCCCACAGAGTCTCAGACATGGGATCCCCCTGGTCCTCTGGAGATGTATCTGTTCTCAGCATGTGGCCGCACAGGCACCAGGACACTTGAGATGCCAGCCAGGAAGAGAGGGAGTTTCATCCCCAGTGTGCAAATGAGACATGGGGGCCAGAGGCAAAAACTGGCCTGTGAACTTGCCCTTCACACCCCACTTCTGGCCTAGCTCAGCACACCCATGGCCATAGCAAAGACCAGATGCCACCGGACCAGTGGTCTAGACACGCCTTCCAGGTGACCTCGAGGTCCTTTCCCTTTCTAGAGTTGATAAATGGTCCCTTTCCTTGTGGATGCTTTTCAGCAACAAACTTAATTCCTCTGCCACAGATGCTGCTCCTCCCTAGGCCTCAGGCCTATGCTAACCGGGACGCAGCTCGGTGACGGCCGGTGCCAGAGCTCTGCCTGCTGGGAGACCACTTCCCACTCCTGGTACATTATGGCCGAAGTGGGTGGACGGAGGCAGTGGAGGAAAGCTGATGTGGGACAGGGCCAGCCAGGAGGATACTCAGACAGGCCGCCCTGCCCAGCCCTCCCCCACTGGCTGTCCAGTGCTGCCGCAGGCCCTGGAGTACTCATGATGCTCCCGTGTCCCCGACAGGACAAGTTTATTGTGGTTGCCCCAAGTCAGCAGCCTCCATGCTGAGGCTGAGTATGGTCATTTGCTGATCTACCACCTCCTAAGGCAGGTCAGATACTTCTTCAGATACCTGCCAGAGGTAATGGTCTCATGAATACTCAGCCAGCCGTCAGGAAGAATGATGACATCATCAACTTCACTACAGGATCTTAAGCAGGACCCATAGCCTCACTCAGAAACAAAAACTGGCTCTTCCTCCCCTTTCCTTCTTTCCCTGGGACCACAGAGGAGGTGTGTTGACAGGGCAGCTGGCCTCAGGGCAGGGGAGGTGTATGGCCCCTGCTGTGTCTGACGACTTGCAGCAGCTGTTGGAGGAGGTCAAGGGCTCAACCCAAACATTGTGCTGCCTCAGAGCTAGTTATAGTGCTGTGTCCCAGATGACCCACAACTGTCTGGCCCGGCTACATATCACAGGTTCCCACGACCCCCTCTCCTTAGGCTCAATAATTTGCTAGAGCCACTCACAGAATGCAGCACTAGATTTACCACCACCATGAAGGATGGGACTTAGGAAAAGCAGATGGAAGACATGCCCAGGAAGGGGATCCCTGAGCTCCCATGACCTCCAGGGCACTCCCTCCAGCACCTCCTCTGGTTTCTCTGGTGGTCCACAACTGAGGAAGCCACTGGGTACCAACTCAGGACACCCTCTTCCCTGCCCAGAGGGTCTACCCCACCTTCAGCGGCTTTCCCAGTCATCTCAGCACAGACTCCACTGTTGGGGACGGGGTTTCTGAGAATCACTAAGACCCCTTGGCGGCTCCAGCACCCAAGCAATTCCAAGAGTGGCAAAGACCAAATACAGATTTCTCTTAAGAAGGAGGTCCTCTAACCATCCTCCTCAACTCAAAAACACCAGCCTCTCCACCCATCGTTCTCTCCTTCTTTCAATCCACTGGTTTCTCCTTGGAATATTTTTCACAAAGGAAAAACCCTCTTCTCAGGCTCCTCCTGCCCCTCTCTGGTCTTTTCTCCATGTCGAGTGAACTAAGATCTGTAATGGAAGTGCTAACAGAATCTTAATTACAGCATCATACACAACAGTGTGACTGAAATCTCCAGGCAGAGAGACAATGACTCTAGTTTCATGGCTGGAGGTACTGGAGGGTGAGGTCCAAGCAAAGAAGATGCTGCAGTCTGCGTGGGGCAGCCATGGAGCCCACGTCTACCCTGCCCTAGCTGGCCGGGAAGACCAAGGTCCATCAGCAGTGCCCCCTCCCCCGCACCCACAGGGACAGCCTCTCTCCTAGTGTCCACACAGGGTCAGTGCTGGCCACAGTCAGGAGTGCATGTTGTTCTTCTGCATCTAACTAAGACAGTTGTCGGCTTGTCCCAGATATCTGTGATTGGCCTGTGGCTCTGTCCAGCAACTAGGGAAGGAGGCAGCTCTGCAGCTGGTCCCCAGAGAACGGAAACAGGCTGATAAGGTCCTGGCGCTCCTGTCAGCGCTCCATGGAACCCGCGGCAGGAGCCATTAGCGCCTCTGATCTCCACCTCCAATTACAGCGTGATTAGGCCCGGCAGCGCCAGGCCATGAATTATTCATCTCCCTTCACAGTAACCACCAGGGACACAGAGAAGGAATAATCAGAAGATCGACCGGCAGCAAACGACCCTCCTTGTATGGCAGGTCTCTCTTTCAAGGCTGGCCTGGCCCATGTGCCCCTGTCAGGTTCTGAGAACCTTTAAAAACAAATCCTGGTCGTCACTGCAGCGACCCTGAGAGCAACGCTCAGAGGCCATGCAGGCAGTGGGAAGGAAGGGGCTGCAAGCAGGTGTGACACGGGCCTGAGGCTGGTCGGCCGTGTCCCAAGTGCAATGGAAGCCCAGCCTGGGCATCGAAGCACACGGACAAGACCTGAAGGGGCCAAGGAAACCCCTCAACTCGGTTTCTCCAGAAATGACTCTACTTTTTTTTCCAAGCCAAAGAACCAGTCTTGTACTTAACTGCCAGTGGCCTGCGTTACAGAAAAGGTCATGGGTATTTGATCCCGAGGTAGGGAGAGAGACGGTGGCTGTGCCCTGTTCCTCACGATGGCCCCAAGGGCTGGGCAAGAGCTGCAGCCATCACCCAAGATTCAAGAACTTTCTGCCCAATAAGCCTTGAGGTCTAGAGCCTAGGTTCTGCCTTCCTCAGACAGGGTTGGAGAAGGCCAGGCTAGCCGGAGACCCTGCGTGACCTCTGTCCAGGGTGGCTGCTTGCCTCACCTGGGGATTCCGCCTCCACCACCTGGGGTGAGCACCCAGCTCCCTGTGCCCTCCATCTTGTCCTGGCTCCTAGTCTTGGCTCTCAGCCTTATGTTTGCTTCTATAATAATTAGGGCCCAGAAGGGTCCCCATGCATCTCTGTGCCCTCTCTCTTCCCTGAAACTGTGCCATGCTGCTGTGCTCTTGGCAAAGCGGGTGTCCCAGTGTAATAGTATGTATGTCCACCCGGTAACACACCAGCTGTGTGGCCCCGGGCAGCTTGGGTACCTGCCTCAGTGTCCTCGTCTACCACCTGGGCAAGATCACCCCTGCATCAGGGGCTGCTATGGACACACTGTGGCAGCTTCTTAGGAAGACAGGTGCTCATTTACCTTCTGACCACCAACTCCACCCTGGGTACCGACTCATGAGAAATAGAGGCACATGTTCACAGAGAACCTGCACTCAGACCTTTACAGCAGCTCTACTGGCAAGCATCCCAAACCAGACACGATCCAGTGTCCTTCGGCAGAGGAGCAGGCCAAGAACAGTGGCCTGTCCACACTGTGGAATCCCACTCAGCAAGGGAAAGGAACTCGCATCCACATGGATGAATCTCAGACATGTCCCACTAAGCGACCCATTAGGCCTTGTTCCCATTGACTGACATTCCAGAAAAGGTGCTAGAAGAGAAACAGGTACCTGCTTGCCTGGCCTGGGGAGGTGCTGAGTATGCCAGGGGAAGGACTGAGCTGCCAGACACTCCATGTCCCAAGAGTGTGGTTGGCTATGTGTTTTGCAAACCTCATAGGACTGCACACAGGAAGGGGAATTTTACTGTGTGTGCAAGATAAATGGACGCATGGACAGAATCACAGAGTTGTTTTGCTCTTGCCTCCAATTGGGATCTCTCTTGTTTTGGACACCCTGGAGGAGGTGCCTCATGAAGACTGGGAGAGCACTGAGAACAGCACACCACACATTCACACCTTAGGCCTGTGCTCTGCTGGCAGATTCCCTGCTGAGGACCCAGGATGTGAAAATCTGAGTTAAAGTCAGAGTGGAACATCTTACAGAAGGCTGTATGGTAGGGCCAGGGCAGGAAGCCCTGTTGGCAGCCCACATCATCCAGATAGATGGAGAGCTCCCTCACCTGCTGTCCCTACGGGCCTGGATGGGCGGGAGGCTCTGGCCGATGGCCCCCTGGTCTACACGGAAGCAGGGCCCACCCCAGGAGGCACTCTGCTGAGCACATGGGTCCTGGTCATTCCCATTCTTCCCAATGGTCACCAGGGAAGGACACTGTATAAGGAACACCCTTCTCTCCTGTCCCCGACTGGCCACTTGGGAGAAATGTGAGTGCCCACAGGGGGATAGGCCACAGCCACCTGGCTAGTACCCCAAGGTAGTTCTCTGGCCCAGTAGGACTGGCCCACCTAGGAGCTCGGGGCAGAGGGGAGGACACAGCAGGCAGGTGCTGCTCATACCTGGCACGCGCACTGTGGTCAGAGGGTTGGACAGCGCCATGCCGATCTCCGTCATCCCGTACCGTTCCAGCAAAGTGTGGCCTGTGATGCTTTGCCACTTCTCTAGCACAGGCAGAGGCAGGGCAGCTGAGCCTGAAACCATCAACCTGCCAGCACAACAGAGGCAGCCTTAGCTTCCTGGGGGTGGCCCTTGCCAGGACAACAAAAACCTGTTGTGCACAGCGCTCCTCATTCAACTCCAGTATCCTCAAGTTCATGACAAACAAGGTATCAGGGGCCAAATTTTACCTCTGTTCTTTTATTATTTTTAAAAAATTTTTAAAAATTTTTTTTTAATTTTTATTTATTTATGATAGTCACACACACAGAGAGAGAGAGAGGCAGAGACACAGGCAAAGGGAGAAGCAGGCATCATACAGAGAGCCTGACGTGGGACTCGATCCAGGGTCTCCAGGATCACGCCCTGGGCTGCAGGCGGCGCTAAACCGCTGCGCCACTGGGGCTGCCCACCTCTGTTCTTTAAAAAAGAATTTGTTGGGCGCATCTTACAGTATAAACAGGTCTTCAAAAGGAACAGGTAATCAAGGTAAAAAAAAAAAGTTTTCAGGTCTTTGGAGGCATTCTTTGCACATGACTATACACTATCTATAAACAATCCTAAATCACAGCAATAATAAGAATTTGGTTTGTGTATAAACTGCTTCCAGGCCTGAGGAGCAGGAGGGGCAGATGAAAGGAGAGAGCCCACAGCTGAGTGATGCTGCAGTGGATGAGCTCGCGGGCGTGACACACACCATGCAGCGTATGAGAGCTCCTGCTCACATCACTCCAGCACCACACACACCCCACCATATTCAGAATTTCCAGTTCACGCTGGCCAGGCAGCTCGCTCTGAGCTGGTAAAAGGCTATGCTCGCCTCAGACAGCATGTCACGTCTCTCACGTCTCTCTGGTCCCATGAAAACTCACCATGCCAGCTCGGATGGGCACTCTTAAGTGACTCAAGCTTGGGTGAAAATCGGGGAGAAGCATACTAGGTCTGCAGGTTCATAAGGTAAAGCAGAACAAGCCTCACGCCACTGAAGGACCCGCAAGATCCAGCGCCTCTATCAGGAAGGGTGCTTGTGAACAAATCTGGGAGGCACAGGACAGGGTGGGGGTGCTCCACAGGGGGTGGCTCAAGGGCCAGAGACTGAGGTGGAGGGAGATGAAGCGAGGTCAGACAGGTCAGAATGGGTGAGAGTGGGCCCTTGTCCTTCAGACTGGACCATAGGACAGAAGGACACAGAGAGACAGGTGCATCTGGACAGACTCAGAGAGAGAGAGGGAGGGAGGGAGGGAGAGAGAGAGAGAGAGAGAGAGAGAGAGAGATGGAATACGGACAGACATGCAGAAAACAGCTCGCTGTACACTTTAAAGGGAGTGGAATATACTGCTTTCTAAAACTTAGGACTGTTTTACTAAACATATGTGATGTTAGTTGATCTTTAAGGCTTTCTGGGCCAGAGAATGGACTATTTCCATTTACCTAATCCTCTCTTCACAAACTGCACGGACAAAATCCTGAACGTGAGGCTGGGTGAAATGTCTGTCATAATAATCCATCAGCTTGGCATAGATTGTAGGCACTGCCATAAATACGTTAATCCGTGGAGTTTCACAGCCTAAGAGCTTTTCCCAAACCTAGAAAGGAAAAAAAAAAAAAAAAGGAAAGAGCAAAACGTGAGAAAACATGCACACACTCTGACGCAGGCAGGCTCATCCAGCTCCAGCACATCTTAATGGAGACACCCCCTTCCTTCTCTTTAAAGATCCATAAATGGCTCCCAATACAAGGCCTCTCACTTGGCTGATGCAGCCTCTGGCTATTGCTGTGGAAGTCCCCTTTGCCAGGAGATACTGGTGTCAGGCCACAGGGTAACCGTGACAAGAGCAGAGGCACAGCCCTGGCGTTGGATCTTGTCAGGAGAGATGGGGCACCTCATGCTCTTCCAAGGGGCACCTGTGAGCCTTGGGTCAGCATAAGGCCCGGCACCAGCAGCTGCTCAAAGATGGTGAACATATGACTGTCTGGTTATATTAGAAAAAGTCACATGAATTTTATATTTCCTTTGGTAACAGATGCTTTCTTTTCTTTCTCCTTCCTTCCTTCCTTCCTTCCTTCCTTCCTTCCTTCCTTCCTTCCTTCCTTCCTTCTTTCTCTCTCTCTTTCTTTTTCTTTCTTTCTTTCTTTCTTTCTTTCTTTCTTTCTTTCTTTCTTTCTTTCTTTCTTTTTTCTTTCTTTCTTTCGATTTTATTTATTTGACAGAGAGAGTAAGCAAGCACAGGCAGAGGGAGCAGCAGGAGATGTAGAAGCAGACTCCCCCACTGAGCAGGAGCCCGATGCAAGACTTGATCCCAGGACCCCAGGATCATGACTGGAGCTGAAGGCAGATAGATGCTTCACGACTGAGCCACCCAGGCACCCTGCTTCCTGTTTTAATATAAAGATGTTCTATGTGCCTCACTGGTTAAAGAGCTTGGGTGTGACCCCCAGTGTTCAAGAAAAGCTGACACAGCCCCCTCATTCTGTGGCTCTCTTCACCCCAGTGTTGCCGTGTAAGCCTCTGGCCAGGATGAGCACAGGAGGCTCACAGGACCCCAAACACATATAGACCTTGCCCCGTGACATTCGAGGGGCCAATCCCACACACTCTGACCCCTACATGGACAGGCTGTGTGGAGGGCAGGTGTGTCTCTGAGGGGAAATACTATCATTCTTTTAAAGACAATGATTAGTGCCCCTTATATTGCAAAGCATGTAGAGAAACAGGAATATGTGAGCCATAATTAGGGAAAAAAGTCAACAGAAGCAGACCCTCAGAAGATGCTGGAATTATCAGACAAGGAATTCTTTTTTTTTTTTTAAGATTTTATTTATTTATTCATGAGACACACACAGACACACACACACACACACAGAGAGAGAGAGAGAGAGAGAGAGAGAGAGAGAGACGGGCAGAGGAAGAAGCAGGCTCCATGCAGGGAGCCCAATGTGGGACTCGATCCCGGGACCCCAGGATCATGGCCCAAGCCAAAGGCAGACACCTAACTGCTGAGCCATCCAGGCATCCCCAGACAAGGAATTCAAGATAATTACAGGCCTATGAAACTTAGAAGGAAAGATGAAAAAAAGGAGGGAAAATCAAGGATTTCATTGGAGAAGTAGAAACATAAAACAGAACAATTATTAAACTCGGAGACAAGTCATCTGAAGCCACAAATTCACTGGACAGACTCAGACATGGATGAGACTATGCGGAAGAAAGGATAGAAGCTGCAAGACATGGGCTCATGGAAAAGATCTGCACCAAAGCGAGGCAGGACAGACAGGAGACAGGGTAGTGGGAAAGACACGCCAGCACAGCACACCTGGGGGCTTGGCAGAGACTCCCCATGTCCGTGGGCAGGCAGCCTCAACATGGATGAGATGGCAAGTCTCCCCACCCAAGCCACAGTATCAACGTGCTCCCCCCAAACGCCAACAAACTCTGGTTCCAACAACCGACAAGCTGACTCTACCACTCTCATGGAAGGGTAGAGACTCAAAAGAGCCAAAACAAGCATGAAAAAGGAGAGAATAAGTGTGGAGGGCTCATTCCTCTCGACTCTTAAACTTGTTCTAATGCAAGAGTGACCAGTGCAGCGTGGTGCTGGTGGAAGATCAGACCTCCAGATGAATGACCAACCAGAGCCCACAAATAAACCAATACATGTGTGGCCAATTGTTTGTTTTAAAAACTTACTGATTGGGCAGCCCTGGTGGCGCAGCGGTTTAGCGCCGCCTGCAGCCCAGGGTGTGATCCTGGAGACCCGGGATGGGGTCCCACATCGGGCTCCCTGCATGGAGCCTGCTTCTCCCTCTGCCTGTTTCTCTGCCTCTCTCTCTCTCTCTCTCTCTCTCTGTCTCTCATGAATAAATAAATAAAATCTTTAAAAAAAAAGCCTGGTTTCCTTTAAAAAAATAAAAATAAAAACTTACTGATTTATTGATTTATTCATTTGAGAGAGAGAGAGAGAGAGCACACCTGCATGCGCAAGCAAGTGCAGGGGAGGGGCAGAGGAGGAGGGAGAGGGAGAAGCAAACTCCCCCCTGAGCACAGAGTCTGACACAGGCTCGATCTCACAACCCTCAGATCATGACCTGAGCTGAAACCAAGAGTCAGATGCTCAACAGACCATACCACCCAGGTGCCCCATGGCCAACTGGTGTTTTTTTTTTTTTTTTAAAGATTATTTATTTATTCGCGAGAGATACAGAGAGAAAGGCAAAGACACAGGCAGAGGGAGAAGCAGGCTCCATGCAGGCAGCCCGATGTGGGACTCGATCCTGGGATTCCAGGATCATGCCCTGAGCCAAAGGCAGACGCTCAACCATTGAGCCACCCAGGTGTCCCCCAACTGGTTTTTGACAAAGGAGGCCTCATTTCAAATGGGTAAAGAATAATTTTTTTTAACAGTGTTAGATCAACTGAACACCACGTACAAAAAGATGAATTTTAGACCTTTGTCACATACAAAAATTAGTCCAAACTGAATCAGAGACCTAAATGCATAAGCTAAACTATAAAACTTCTAGGAAAAAATCTTCATGATCTTGTTTGAGCAAAGATTTCTCAGATATGACACCAAAAGCATGATCTAGGAAATTAATTGATACAATGGACTTCATCAAACTAAAAACGTGTTTCAGAAGATACCATTAAGAAAATGAAGAGATAGGGCACCTGGGTGGCTCAGTGGTTGAGCGTCTACCTTCAACTCAGGTCATGATCCCAGGGTCCTGGGATGGAGACCCACACTGGGCTTTCCATAGGGAACCTGCTTCTACCTCTGCCTATGTCTCTGCCTCTCTCTGTGCTTCTCATGAAAAAATAAATAAAATCTAAAAAAAAAAAAAAAAAAAAAAAAAAAGAAGAGACAAGCCAGACTGGGAGAAAATATTTGCAAACCATCTGACAAAAGACATATCCAGAATATACAAATACTTACTAGTCAATAAGACAAATAACGAGTATAAAAATGGGCAAAAGGTCTAAACAGTTCACCCAGGAAGATATAAGGATGCAAACAAGACCATGAAAAAAATGCTCAACATCATTAGTCATTAAGGAAATGCAAATTGAGGGGGCACAGCTCAGTTGGTTAAGTGTCTGAGTCTTGATTTCAGCTCAGGTCATGATCTCAGGGTTGTGGGATTGAGCCCCATATTGGGCTCTGCACTCAGTGTGGAGTCTGTTGCAGATTCTCTCTCCCTCTGTCCCTCCTTGCTCATATTCTCTCTCTCAAATGATCTTAAAAATGAAAAGGAAATGCAAATTGAAACCATAGTAGATCTCACTTTATATGTACTAGAATAACTCTAACAATAACTTAAACAACAAGAAGGGCTGGCACTGATGTGGTGAGACTAGGGTCCTTGCACACTGCTAGTGAGAATGTAATCAAGAGCCAATGTGGGAAATAGTTGGGCAGTTTCCTGAAATACAAAACATAAACTTGCCCTACAATCCGACAATCTATTCCTGCATATCTCTATAAGGTACGTGAAAACATGACCACACAGGGATTTGGGTGCAAATGTTCACGGCAGCATTATTCCTAATGGACAAAAACTGGAAGCAACCCAAAGCCCATTGGATGGTTCACAGGCAAAGAGAGCATGTGAAGCGACACAATGGGGTGCTCTTCAGAAACAAAAAGAGCAAACACTGGCCCACATGCTACAACATGAGTGAGACTCAGAGGTGTTCTGCACAAAGAAGGAAGCACACATAAGACTCTGCAAGCCATAGGACTCAGTGTCATGCAGTGTCCCAGAAAGGAAACATGCAGAGGCAGAGGCAGACAGGGCTGCATGGGAGTAGGGAGTGAGACAATGGCTGGGCAACTCTAGGTTTACGAAAAATCACTTAATCATGTACAATAGTGACTTTCACAGTATGAGAATTACATCTCGGCAGAGCTGTGAGAAAGACACAACATGAACACTTCAGGGAAACAAGCTTGGAGACTCATGAACCTGAAAGAGCATGGGGGAGGGCCACAAAAGGAAAGGCCTGGTAATCACCATAGAAGTTATAGACTCCTGACGACTTAAGGTAACAATGATGATGTGTCATGAAGACGAAGTCAGGAAGGAATAAAGAACAAGAGGTCAAAGGCACAGAAATCACGGGTGCATTAGAGAAAAACTGTGACACAAGAGTGAGCACAGTAATGGGAGGAAAACATAAACCACCTGTATCAGAGCTAAAGGAGGCATCGCCACAGATCCCAGGGACACAGGAGAGAAACTTGAACTACCATGAATTTCACAGTTTTGATGAAATGGAAAAATTCCTTTAAAAACAAAAACTTACTAAAACTGACATAAGAAACAAAATAGGAAATATTAGAAGTCTTACATATGTTAAAGAAACTGAACCCTTAATTAAAAGCCCTTCTGGAGAGGTCTGGCCCACATGGCTTCCAGGGTGACCTCAGTAAACACTCAAGGGAAGACCAGTGTCAGCCTTATACCAACCTGCCCAGGGAGGAAAAGCCTTAAAAAGGGAAGCACTGCCTCAACACAGAAGCCCAGCAAGGAGGTCATGAGATGGCTACAGACCCGTATTCCTTCTAAACATAGATGCAAAAGCTTA